CTGTGTAGTAAAGTGTATACGCATTGCCCATCAGTCTGTGACATTTCGAAAGACACTTTTTCCCGGAGCGTATTCGTATTAGGAGTAAAACAATAGCAGTAGACGTAGCAGTATTTGTAGAGCCACGAAATCACGCTACCAATAGCAGAGAAGGAACCGTTGAGCGTAACGAATACCTTTCTTTATTTTAACCGACAGGTGGTAGAGTGGAGCATTACTTTATTGCACTGAAGTTTTGGTACGTTCTTTCCGGCTGGTTGACTGCCCTGAGCTCATATAAGCAATAACGCGTTGTTGAAGGACAATAGCGGCAAACGTGAATGAAAATTGCTTCGCACTGAACTATGGAATTTTCAACCTTTTCAACACAGGGCGGAACAAGTTTGCGCAGCTCCATGGTGGTCGAAAGGAGCCGTGCGAAATTCGATCCAGAAAAGGCAGAAAAGCACAAGAAAGTTTGTAATCATTGGAGTGCCCACCTTCCTTACACATTCGTGATGGAGCCATTTCTGACGCCCTTCTTTTCTTGAAGATAATGTTGGGTGCTGATCTCCATTTATATGGGTGCTTCATTTTAAAGGCATGGTCAAAAGCAACTATATGACAAGCAGAGTGTGTATTATGCGACGTTTTTCCTCAGAAATCATACTTATTTATCAACCTCTGAAGAAAAAAACGTGAACACTTTTATCGAGGTCTCTCGATTCTGAACGGGACACTGTGTAAATTCAGCGACCCCATTTCACGGAGCTGATTACCGTTTTGATGCCGTTATATCATTAAAACATGACGTCGGTTCAGTCCATTCTGATTGTACGCCAGGCGGTTCGAATTACGAGTGATGTTACGATTCAATGGTTTTCGGCGTAAGGCAACGGTCGATGTTAAAGTTCGCTTAGTTTTTGTCTTAGTTGGCTGATGCCACAAAACTAAGATGACGTTTTGTAATAAGTTGGTTGATTAAACCGAATGAAACAAATTAGCTTCTCACTTCGGCAGTCGGCAGGATTACAGGAAGATGATCAATTTTTTACATGCGAACTAAACGCCGGTTAGAAAGTCGTCACGGACGATTACCATACAGTTGTTAAAGACGACCGTGGAAATACGTTTTCATTCTATGCGACAAGTGATGCTTACGACAATCGTAAAGAAGGCTGATGTCAGTGTTACTTGACCGCCATGCTGGCGTCGAAACCACTGAATCCGAAGATCACTCTCACTTAAAAGTAAATCTTCTTTTAAGGTACGATTGAAGGTGTACGGCGTATCGGTAGAGCATCTGACGGACCGATATTCGTCGTTTGTCCAGTCAGCAGGCTCTTGAACGAATGCCATGCAAGTCCACTTCGAAGAACGCAAAATAAAGCACAGACAACAGGAGGCACACCCATAGCCAACCAGCACAAGTCGCTTCAGCGAAACCTGACCTCGACCGGCTGAGACTCTCCAGTCGGTACGACAGCAAACGATCACCGCTGCTTACCTCGCGTAACGCTCCTTGTCGGTCAGCGACGACGTGCTGCCCGTAGCTTCCGCGTTCATCTTCAAGCACTTGCGCGATTGCAGAACATCCAGCTGCTCAACGCTTTCGTCGTCAGACCTCAAAATCAAACGGACGTGAGCAGAAAACAAGAGAAAACCGGCGACGAGGTATAAATCGAGCAAGCGAGACAACAAGGCAATACGAGTTACTGTCGCGAGAACTGACGGACAACGAGTAACCAACTGGACGGGGAAAAACAGTGGCACTCTGCTTAATTTCAACTTTAAGTTTTCAGTCACTTTAACCTGCCTGCTACCGGTAGATACAACCAGTGGCAAAACAGACAGAGACAAAAAAGCGGCCGGCCACAGCCAAACGCCAGACTCCGGTCACCAACCGGTACACAACGTAAAAAGTGGTTGTTCACACAACGACGAAGACGACGACAATTATGACGACTAAAAATAAGAGTAAGAGTAAGACCACAGATAGCCTGAAACAGGGTCGACATCGTCGGTCGGTAGGCACCGCTCGACTCAGCTCATTGATTCGACTGCTAAATGGCAGGCGACCTGCAAGAAAAATCCGATACCGGACGATGATGACAGCGACGGCGCGCACCGTCAGAGCAACAGCGGTCGAACATCACCGACGCAATAATCGACGTCGACACTTACATCATATATTCATTGAATATGAATTATTCAAAGAATTTTTCACCGACCAATGGCCACTTACCAAACACACACAGCAACGTCGACGAAACAGAGTTAATCGTTTAGTTATTAATAAGCTACCTCAAAAATAACGACCGTTAAACTTAGATGACAGCCGTCGATGACCACAAGTGTGGCTCTGAAGCTGAAACAAGGCGACCAGTCTCGCGCACAAGTAATATTCGGTTCGGTTATTTGTCAAGCAAAGATTAAATGTGAACGAGCACTTCTGGCGGATAATACTTGGAAAATCAGGCGCTGATGAGCTGCAAGCAAAGTAGTTACGAACTACGGCAGCTGCACAGGGTAGTGCCGTCCAAATAGTCATCATTGTGACGCTGAAACAACGTCTCGGCATCAGACAAGCACGCTGCCAGATTCGTAGAAGCCATACACGGTCGTACACTATGATGCCCCCCTTCTGAGTTCATCCAGGTCTAAGCAAAATCTATAAATTACCCAAAACTTGGTGGGTGTTGCATCTTGCACCACCTATCTAACACCAAAACTGCCAACCTATCTAGAGATCCACTAAGGCTGTTCACTGGCGGTGGCGGTTTCTCAAGTGAAATATTCTGTACCGAACAGGCAATACTTGCGCCGTATGTGTGTGTGTGGGGGGGGGGCATGGATCGATGAAAGCCAACTCCATCGACAATTAGAAACGCACCATCTGCTGCACGTGAACGCATTTGAATCTCTACCTTCCGTTGCTGTTCAGCGTCGTTCGCTGAATCGAAAATCTTGAATGCTTACGGGCAGTCGCTTACAACGTTTAATTCTGGAATGCTCGTCAGAAATAATATTCATATACTTTTTTGAAAAAAGCATCTGTTTTACGCTACAGTAAGCTTCAATTAAAACTAACATATTCGACGCATAGTCAAATGAAGTACCTCAAAGGTCGTCTTTCATGGCCTACACAACATGTTATTCACGATCGTGTGCACAATTCACTTTCATTTCTGAAACTCGTCTCAATTCTGTGTCTTTTCCTTCATGAATAAGTTGCCACCTCTATGTTTAGAGATACAAGGAAACAAACGGAAGCAATTGTTTACCGTGAGGAGAGCGAATGCAGCTTGGCTGTGTAACGTCAGCAGTTACAGTACAAAGTACCATTCGTCTGCTTCCTTGTAACGAAAAGCACTGAAATGAAGATTTATAGTTTACCTTGCTTTTTTAGTTGGACCGCTATTAATTTCTTATTTAATTTTTGCATTTCATTTTTAGCCATAGTGATGAACTTTGAATTCTGAAGTAAATGCTAGTCATTCAAAAGCTACTACTAACAACAGCACTGGTAGTAGAGGTTTTCTTCCTGCACTGCTGATAGAACGTGAAAACATGTCAGGCCGAAAGATACTGATCTAACGGTCACTTTCACATGTTACTGATCGTTACTAGTTTGAAATCAGCTAATTTTCGCAAACTGTTTGACTTATGGAACGATCGGATCACCATTCTGAAAGCAGCCGCGTTCCCGTGTTCACGTACAGTTCTCGACGCAACTGCTTTTCCGAAACCTCACGAGTTTCGTTCGCCTCCGAGAACCTCCAGCAACGCAGCCAGAGCATTGCCTTCAAAATACGATGCTGGCATTGGGTCACGAACGAGCAAAGCTGAAGACTAGAGCCAGGCGACCGACTCTGAGGCTCGGTTACACGAAATGACCAAAAAAGAATGGAAACATGAACAGAGTCGTAATAACATCACTGGTCAACCGCGAACAACAATGCTCACTCCGAATCTACTCATCTGTATTTCACACGACCAGAGGCAGTATACATGAGCTGGAAAAGGCAAACATCAGGACCGTCCTCAAATCAAACGAGAACTTAAGATCTTATCTGACGAAGACTAAGAACAATATAACAAATGAAGAAATGACCGATGTAATTTACATTAAATTAAATGGGTCAGATTGCCGAATATCATACATTTGATTAAACTGGCAGACAAGGACGAACTAGGATGGTAGAGCATAATAGAATCGTGAGCATCATGTATCCAACGATCGAAGAAAAGCAACAGTTGAAAAAAAGCTCGGCAGCATCCCTTTAACTGCCAAATCATAGTAACAACGGCTACAAAGATCGATTAGTTACTGAAGCGCCCTTAAACCAAGCAAGACCCAACTTCATAAGCAGAGATGAAGATTTTAATATCTCCCTTTATGACGTAACTTATGTATACTTCAGACAAAGAGCAAGAAGTTAATTGTAAACACATCTTGAATATCTCTTGGTACCGTATACCTGTATATCACACTGATTGCTAGCAGGTGATAAGGGTTGGTAACATCAGCCGAAACGTTGGTCC